CCTCTCCCTTCATTTTCGCGCCGCGTACACCTTTTGATACGAAACAACGCCCTTACCTTATGAAACCACCACCACCACCACCACCACCACCACCACTACCATCACCAACACCATCACCAGGGGAAGACCCGATGCGGCGGATCAAGTTCGAGGATGCGGCGGAACTCGACCGTCTCGCCGTCGTGTCCGGAGAGAACTCCCAGGACAAGAACCTGTTCGTCTACCGCGACTCTAGGACGGGAAGGGTTGCGCCGCCGCACAAGGCGGGCTCCCCGGGCACCGTGCGCGCGGAGATGAGGGAGAAGCAGGTGCGGGGGGTACTTGGAATTTTCCTGGAATTTTTTTCATGTTTGTCGCGTCTTGTGTGTGCTTTGAGTGACCGAGTATGCGCGCGAAGATGAGGGAGAAGTAGGTGCGGGGGGTACTTGCAATTTCTCTGGAAATTTCCTGGAATTTTTTCATGTTTTTCCGCGTCTTGTGTGTGCTCGAGTGGTCGAGTAGTGGCTGAGACCAGGCGTGAGAGACGGAGCGGCCCCCTCCCTGCCCCCCGGAGGCCCCTACAGGGGAAAAATAGGCGTGTCGTGGCATAATTCGGTGTGCGTTGAACAGCGATCAGCTCAAGAGTTTTGTCACCCTGCTCGTGACTAACTCAACTCGAACACATGTGCTTTGTGAATGGCCGTGTAGCCCACTGTTGAAGAATTACGTACGCCTGTCCTCGAAATGGTGTGTGACTTAAGTCGCAGCGAGTCAGTTCGTACATGTACGCTGCGCGTACGGCGGGGTCTTCGTCGGTTCCGTTGTACTTGGCACCGATGTTGTATTTTGCTGCAGAAGGAGACCCCCCCCCCTCTTGTTTTCGGCGTGTATGTGTGGGTTACAGCACCGCTGCGGTACCCGTTTTCGGTTTCACCGTGTGGCTCCTTCGTGTGCAGGTATTGGGGTAGAGGAGTCGAGGTGATTGCCCCTCCCCCCCTCCACATCGTGATGTCCCTCTTCGCGTCTGCTGCTGTTGTGTATCCGTTTCAGCTCCCGGTTTGTGGGTCGTGCGAAGGCACCGGGTTACAGGACTGTCAGGTTTGCCACGGCACGGGCATCAACGCTGCTGCCACTGGCCTCCACGACCTCGTGTGCCCGAGGTGACCTTTTTTTCGCTTGCGGTGTAGTGTTGAAGAAATGTCTCGCTTCAACACGACTGCAGCAGCTATGGCTCATCCTTGGTTGAGATCGAAACTATCCTAGGTTAGGCTAGGTTAGGCACCTACAACATTGAATCCCTTTTTGGGCGGGCGGCTCATCTGTGTCTCCCCCAAGGCGCTCTCGAACCATCGTCCGGTTGTTCTCGAAGGTCTTGCTTGTTGATATATAATCCTCCTAGATTTGATAGATATCAGAAATGACAATTGATCGTGTGGCTCTCGTAGTTTGCGGTAAAAAAATCAAGCAAACAAGATATGTAAAAGCCGGCTTGCGCCAATCTCGTGCACGGTTCTCATCCGCGATGCCCCCCCCCCCCCCCCCCCCGTTGGCAAAGAAGCCTCTCTCTTTGAATGTTTTAATTGTTACGGGCAAAACAAGGGTTCCTGGGCGGGGTGGGGGGGGGCCGGGGGTGGGAAAAAGTAAAACGAACCCCCTCTGGGTTGAAACCCCTTAAGGGAGCAGTTTTAATTTCTCATTTTCATTAAGGGAGTCGTAATTTTTTTTTGTTGTTTTTTGGCCCAATAATCTTTTTTTTTGTCACAACAATAACGGAATTTTTTTTTTTTTTTTTTGGTTGGTTTTTGGGAAACGGGCGCCCAACGGGGGGTCCCCTCTTAATTTTCGTAATTTTTGTTTATTTCAACGGCGGGTAAAACTGTCGGGGGGGGGGGGGGAATGGGAAAAAGTTCGGAAGGATGGGCTGGGCTGGGGGTGAAAAAAGTGGAAAGGGGAATGGGTAAATTTTCCTTTCCTGAAAAAGAAAAGTTGGAAA